CGCTCGTGTGTCGTTCAGGAGGCGCTGCGTTCGTTCATCGAGCGTTCGCATCGAGCGCTCGCTCTCCTGAAAACGCCTCAGCTGAGCGAGCGAGAGGGAAAGTGTGGGCGAGTCCATTATTTTCAGAAGGGGACAGGTACCGACGACCAGTCACAATGGCGTATCCACACCGGAGTTTTCTAGGGATAGGAAGATATCTCAAGAGGCAGCCAAGGATAATAGGGAGAAGATAACATGATCGGAAAGGAGATTACCGGAAAGCTGGAAAGAAAATGAACAGGAAAGGGGACAGAGATACCACGCACTCCTACCCCACGCTGGAACAAGCCAGGAAAGCTTACAGAGAAACTGGGGAAGTCCGATAAGACAGGGCAGCAGCAGTCGGAAAGCAGAAAACGGCAGCGTGAATTCTGATTTCTCACCTGACAAAGAAAAAGATATTTTACAGGCACCTGAAAGAGATACGGCTACGGGTGGGCATATGCTGTACACAAGGAAGGAGTCGAGGCAGGACCTGCCAATAGCACGTGAGAGAAGTCCGTGGCGCAGTACACCTGTAAAGAAACGAAAACCTCCAAACTTTAGGAAGGGAGATGGAACTGCCTTAAAGCACTTCCTAATAAAATTCGAGATGACGGCAAGCTATAATCAATGGGCAGAGAATGCATGGGGAATTCAATTAGGATTATGCTTGGAGGGTGAAGCTCTAAAAGTGATGATTGAGATGCCACGATCACAGCGTGCTGACTACGACGATTGTCGCCTGTTTGCAACGCAGATTCGATCCTGTAGAGCGACTCCACGTTTATCGGAGTGAGCTACGTCATAGGAACAGAAGATATGAAGAGACACCCGAGAAATACGGCGCTGTCATGCGGCAGTTATTCGCTCGGGCATACCCTGGCATGATAGGTTTTCAGACGGAGCAGATCCTGATCGATAAATACCTGGAAGGAATAGGAGATGTAGAAATACAATGCTATGCACTCTTGCAAGGACCAAGCACACTGGACGAGGCTATAACTCGGGTAGCACAGCATGAGGCCGTTACAAGAGAAACAGTCTATCGTAGAAAGCCGCCACCAGGTGGAAGCACTCATGTACGAGCTGTAATGCCACAAGAGGATCCAGTGTCGAGTCTACGGGAAGAGGTGCGAAGCCTGAGACAGGAAATGGTTAAAATCATGAAGGACATTGAAGGTCAAGTGCAACAAAATACAGGTAGGGCTGGAAGCAGAGGTCAAACGTCGGGGAGAGTATGCAGAATGCACCATTCAGCGGAATGGCCAAACCTCCACAGAATAGGGCAAGAATGGCTGAAATAGAATGTTATTATTGCAGGATGGGACACACGCAAAAAGATTGCCCACGGAGATTGCAATGTGGCAATATTTCAAATAATCGCGCAACACGGACAGGAGTTGCCGAGATGAGTCAGCGACCGTTAAACTAGGACGGGCTAGGAATAGAGTCGGTAGCCTGGTCCATGGTAAGCCGACTGAGGGAGCTACACCACGATCTACTGGTTTCACACTCTCTTAGAAGGGCAAGATAGAAGAAAGCGATGATACAGAAAATAGTTCAGGCAAGGCTGAAGCCACACAGATACCTACCATCTCAGTAGCACCACTGCAATGTCATCCCACATGGGTAATACCTGTGAAAGTAGAGGGATGGGACATGAAATTTTTAGTAGACAGCGGATCAAGCACAATGCTGATAAATGAAGATAGGTTCAACGACATCAAAGCAAGTACCGGGCTACAGCTGATAACAAGAAAGAAAGATCTGAAGATGGCAAATGGCGAAGCAATGAATAGTCCTGGAGAGACTGCAGTCCGTCTAGAAATCGCCGAGCATACTTACGATAAGAAAACAATGGTTATTGCACAATTAGAGGATTTGGATGGGATAGTGGGACTCGACTTTCTCGTCCCAAACAATGCTATCCTGAACATTACTACAGGAATGCTATCACTCGATGGGAGAGAGATTCAAGGATTTTGGACAGGGGGAGAGAATGGTAGACCAGTATACGTGGATGAAACGACGATGCTGAGGCCAGGGAAAAGATACAGAATCCCTGGATGGACTTATGCTGACGATAAGGTATCCAAAGGAAAGCATGTAAGGCTAGTGCCTATCCCAGAATTTCAGAAGCTGGAGACACAGTGGATTCGGGTGGAGCAGACGGTATTCCCGAGGGATGTGATAAAAGTACCCTTGGTTATCTCCCACACAGGAGAGAAGCCTACCCTATTGTTGGAGGATCAACAAGTGGGGAAACTCAAACCAGTGGAGGAGAGTGAGACACAGCAAGGACAGCAGTTGGTGAGCGTTATGGATGGCATGGCACCCACCAAGTTAGCTGACCACCTACAGAACCTACTGGATAGAGTAGATACGCACGACTTTGAAATTGAGCACCGGAAGGGACAGCATCACCAGAATGCGGATGCGTTATCACGTAAGACAGTAGGGAAATGCCCTAACGAGAACTGCCCAGATAGCAGGCATGGAAGGATGGGGGAGGATGCCCGACCAGCGATGGAGATGCAATAAGGGGAAGAGGAAACGCACGTTCAGGAGGAAGAAGACGAGGAAAGTAGTAGCGATGAACCACCCAGCTGCAATGGGGGACGAGAGGATTCTAC